TTACACTCATCGATACCTTTCATTTGAGTACCCACATCAATTTTTCATATATTTTAATATATATATTATATATATATATCTGTATATTGAAAAATATATCAAAAATGCATGTGGGTACTCAAATAAAAGCTTTTGATGAGCATAACATCGGGATGAGCTTATATCTATCAAAAAGTCAATAATTAAGAAATGGCCTTGTATCTTGTCATCTACTGACATTTTTAAAGATATAAGCTCATCTTGACATTACATTCATCGAGAGCTTTCATTTGATTACCCACATGCATTTTGATATATTTTTCATATATACATATATATAATATATATAAATATATGAAAAATGGATGTGGGTACTCAAATGAAAGCTTTTGATGAGCATAACATCGGGATGAGCTTATATCTTTGAAAACGTCAATAAATAAGAAAGTACAGTGCAATTTAACAAAATTCATTATTTAATAAATAAAAATTTTAAATATTATTTTTATATAAATTTCTTTCGAATTCAACAATAATAATAAAATCCACAAATAATATTTATATTTCTAAGTACAATACAATTTTTTTAACTATATATTTAATTAAATAATTTCACAATTTAACGTACCGAGAAATCACCATTTAAGTACACAGAAATTAATTCTTATAGTAATTTATTAAACATTTTTCAGCAAAAATAAATTCGCTAGAAAAATTATTTCTCAAAATTACACCTAACAATAGAACTTACGAAATATAAATTAAAAACTGCTTATTCATTTAAATTCATTAACACACCAGTCAGTATATATTAATAAAAATCCCCACATATTGTCATACGTCCAGTTTAAAATGACCGGAAAAAGGAAACACGGGTGAAATCGTCTGTCGTCGTTAATATTACTCCAATCACGTCATCACGCGCGATTTACAGATTTATTGTCCCATTGTCCCAGCAAAAAAAAACACAACAATGTCCTTGAATCCCCAAAGCTCTTAGCAATCATAACTATCATCAATAACAATCACTACAATAATAATTACAATTATCATCATCAATAAATATATCTTTTAAACAAATTCCACCCACCCAACAAATCTCAAAAATGATTTATCCATCATTAAAATCATAATTATATCTTCAGTCAATTTTATTTCCATCTTACCCGCGCAATTGTTAAAATAAAATATTAATTAACATTACCGCCAACTGAATAAACAACCAACCATCCAAAAAGATAATTACTAATTATCAATAAAATACAATCTCATATTCGATAAAAATGATCGCACAAAATTAAAAAAAATATTTTTTAATTACATAAGTTTTATTAGTAATAACATATTTATTAGTAATAACATATTAAATTAATATAAATACCCAACATTTGTGATTTAATTTAAGTTATCGCAGTATTGTAATATATAGTACATACTCAGTATCAATTTTTATTTAAAAATAAGATCCGTTACTTTTCTCATAACTACGACAGCTGTTCGATATTTTTTTCCGCGCAGTAACGTCGGATATTACCAACTAAATAGCATTTCTTCTCTTCTCATCTCTTGAATTTATTTATATCCATAATCCATGTCATTAATTAATTTTTTAAAATTCTTTTTTTCAAAAATTATTAACTATTTGTCTATTTTATTTTACTTCTACTTTTTTATATATTTCTATTGTTTAATTTATCTTCTTTTGACCTATTAGTCTTCTTTATTTATTTATTGCATAAGAATGCTGATCGACAGTGTAAATTCATTATAAAAAATATTTTAAGTGATATTTAAAAAATATTCAAAAATAAAAATAAAAAATAAAAATAAAATAAAAATAAAAAAAAAATTAAATTAAATTAAAAATAAAAAAATAGCCAAAAATAAAAATAAAATAAAATAGATGATATTGTGATTGTATTTAATTTAATACAATAATAAAATGGCGCAAGATGATATATAACTATAAAATTACAAGGAAGATATATTGAATGAATGAGTTCTCTGGTGCATCTTATGTCTTATAAGCAAAGTGTAGTGTTGATTTTTATTTCCAGATGAGAGTATGACTATGACCAAGTCTCGGTACTTATACTGTAACTAAACTGACTATGACTGAATTGAAGCTGGTACATTCTGCGTTGAGCTTCCCCAGAGGTGGTAACTCTCCGTACAACGTATAGTAGTGTATTGTATTTTATAAAACGTGTAGCCTTTGATATTATATTAAATGTGTCTTTAGTTATTACTCTACTACTCCGTATCATAATCATTGAGATCACTTTACTTGGATTATATTAATACTTAATGATAGTATAGCTTCAATATTGTAGTGTTCTTCATCATTTACATATTGAGTTCTTGTGTATAGTGTTGATACTCTCATTAATCATTTACACATTTTGTTACGCTCCGCTGATGTCGACAAACATTTAAATTATTATACATTGCGTATCTTTGTCGACGCTCTGTCTATCGTGATATCGCTTCAGTTCTAAATCACATGCAGTAATTTTTTTATTTTTGGTTTTTAAGTAAGGTGGGAAGTTATGTGAATTTTTGTGGTTTAAAAGGTGTAATTTGAAAATTTATACCCGGGAAGAAATAACAGAAATTGGTGAAAATGATGTACCATAAACCAACTGTCCCGCGATTTAGAATCGCTGAAAGAATTTGCACCAATCGACCGGTTTCAAGGAATATTAGTTATGAACATGAGAGTAATTGCAGTTTTATTATCTCTGCCAGCAACTCAAGCATTAATCGGTATTAAAAGATTATTAATTATAAAAAATAGTTATTTTTTAATTAAAAAATTATGTTTGAAATATATTTTAGTGTCAAAAAAAATTTTTTATTAAAAAAAATTATATTTGAAATATATTTTAGTGTCAAAAAAAATTTTTTTTTAATTAATATTATATAAAAAACACATTTGTAAAATATACACAATATAATTTGAACTTTATCAATAATATAAGAAAAAAAATGGAAAATTATATTGAAAAAAAATGAATATTAAAAATATAATATAGTTTAAAATGAATTTTTGATATATATTTTTAAAATAATTTTTTTTTTTTCATACAAAAAATAAAGAGAAATTTTTTTTTTTAAGTCTAGAGTAATAAGAGATTTTGCTTATATTTGAATTATCATTAAGATACTCATAAATTTTATTATGTAGGTTGGTCTTGAATAGAAGGCAGGAATTGATTGCATAGCTGATATGGATCGCGAGACAAGTCGAACGATTAGACTATTTATTATTGTTTTCAATTGTTTATAATTATCTTCCGTAAATGGTTCGATTATTTTCAGGGGTGTAACTTATTTGTTGAACAACAGCTGAATAAATATCTTAACTTTTATTTCAAAGTGAATGAATTGGCAAGGAGTTTAAAATACGGAAATTTTTGTTTTGACAGTGATGATTATTATTAAATATTATCTGTTATCAGTTTAAAAATGGGTCAACAAGTAGACAAAATATTTTTTTAACCTGATAAATATAAAAAAAAAAAATACATTTTTTATTGTTTTTGTTATTGTTGTTGATGTTGAAGTTGACAATAAAATAATGGGTTTTTTGTTTTAATTTTCAGAAGTGGAAAATCACATGTAGGAAGTAAAGGACCTTCTCCACATCCTAGTACACCTAATCGATCTGGAATTCAATCTCCAAAACCAACATTGAATGGAACTAATTTAATTTCGTAAGTTCAAATTTTTTAAATAATACTTCAAATAAATTATGATTCTTTTATTTACTTTTTCTCTTATTCTTTTTTTATTTTTCTTTTAACTGATAAAGAAGTTATATTGAATGGATAATAAAATAATTACATCATTCTGTAGTTATGATAAATTTTATTGAAATTTTAAAAAGTACAAAAATATTTTTTTTATACAAAAAAAAAATTTTTAAAATGATCAAAAAGTATAAAATCAAAAATTACAGATGCTCATTAATTAAAAAGTTTAAATTTTTTATAATTTATTTGAGATTTTTCATCCAAAAAAATGGTTATTTTTCCAAAATTTAGTTTTTTCCTATTAATAATTTCAATAATTTTATTTTTGAATTTCTAAAGAAATTTATGTCTATGAATTTCAGTATTATTATAAAATAATAAATTAATTATAAAATCAATTATATAAATATATAGTCAACGAACACTGCCAGGATACCAATTTATTCTTTGAAGATTCAATGTCTGCGTTCATAACAAAGATAAAAAATACAATACTAAACAACAAATACATTCACAATATCACCAATTTTATTTTTATTTTTAGCTTCATTTTTATTATTTATATTCATATTAAATTCAAATACTTATCACTTAAAATATTTTATCGGCGTTCTTTTGCAACAAATAAATAAATAAATAATAAAAAAAATTATAATTATAATCAATTAAAATGTATAATTGCCGACTGGCGTTTTTTTTTAAATAAATAAATAAATAAAATGAATTAACAATTTATTTTTGAACAGGCATAATTCATCAGCAACAAGCGTCTACGAATCGCGAATCCAAGAAAGCCACTACGACACCGTAAAGCCGCTTAAGGTAAGATTCTTCCATCTAAAACCTATAACAATCTCATTTTGGACTATTACCAACAATTAGCTCTTGTTCTCGTGTTAATCATCATTTGCCATACCGCTGATTCTATTTTTCACATCTAGTTCAAGTCAAGGCCAGAATACACGAGTAACCGACAAATACAAAGCCCATTACATGTAGTACCGTAAAACGTTTAATTTTCAATGATAAAAAAACGAGAACAACTCCATAAGAGTCTTACGTCAGTAGTCACACGTGAATTTAAAAATGCAAAATATAAAACTCACTTTGTAAGTTAAAAGTGACATAACACCCGATAATTCAATTTTAATTATTATAATTAGATCAGACATCAAGGACAATTATTAGTTTCACATTCCGTCAATATATATATATATATTAATATATTATCTAATTATCTGTAATTTAATTTATAATTTCCATGATATTTTTTTTATCAAACAATTATTGAATTTGAAATGAAATCCTACACTTAGTTCGCGGTTAAAATTAATCATCGATTCGTTCTGGTAATTTACCAAGAAAATAATTGTTTAATACGCTTAATTAGTTAAAAGCTTAAAGTAATTATTGTTTTAATATTTTATTTAAAAGAAAAAATAGGTATGATGTAATTGAAGAAAACGACGCGTTAAATTTTGAATTAAACTTTTTATTTTGTTTTTAAATTACATTTACAAAAAACTAGTATTATATACAGTACAAGTTCATGAGACGGCAAGTAAACAAAGTTCCCCCTACTGTACTATTCATTACATATCAGCTTTGTCGAAAAAAAAATTTAAATAGTACAAATAAGTGTAGTAATAATTCTTGGAATAATACTCGAGTTGCGATGAATCATTACGGTGTAGCGAGTTAAGAACAAATAATTAGGATTTTTTAAAACTATTTTTAGATAATTACTATTACAATTAACCGTGCGTAATCTGCCTTATTTTGATGGAATAATTCAATGTGTCAAGGTTTATTTTTGACCAAAAATGTACAAAGGCTATTTGTTGTTCATTGACAGTTTTTATTTCTAAAATAGAATTGAGGGGTTTTTACGCATTTAAAAGAAAGCGAATTTTTTAGTTATTATTTTTAGTAATCATTTTTAAATTTAATAGTGAGTTATTTTTTAATAAATAATAATTTTTTTTGATTCATTACTTGATCTTCGGAAGTAATTTTTAAAAGTCTTGCTATAAATGGAATATTTATAATTAAAACAAAACTATTAAGTAATGACTTTTGTGAAATTGCACTGTACTTTCTTAAATATTGACATTTTTAATAATATAAGCTCATCCCGATGTTACACTCATCAAGAGCTTTCATTTGAGTACCCACATACATTTTTGATATATTTTTCATATATCCATATATATAAATATACAAAATATATGAAAAATTGATGTGGGTACTCAAATGAAAGATCTTAATGAGTGTAACATCGGGATGAGCTTATTTCTTTAAAACTATCAATAGTTCACAAGATACAAGGTCATTTCTTAATTAGGTTAAATTGCACTGTACTTTCTTAAATATTGACATTTTTAAAGTTATAAGCTCATCCCGATGTTACACTAATCAAGAGCTTTCATTTGAGTACCCACATGCATTTTTTATATATTTTGCATATATCCGTATATATAATATATATAAATTACAAAATATATGAAAAATTGATGTGGGTACTCAAATGAAAGGTCTTAATGAGTGTAACGTCGTGGTGAGCTTATATCTTTAAAAATGTCATTATAGATTAAAAAATTTAATTATAAAATATTATTCAGGAATAAATTGAATGAATTATTTCAATATTTTTAACAAAATACCGGCTTTGAAAAAAATTTCCTATTTTAATAAAAATATTAGCCTTGAACTTTTTATAAAGAAAATCTTCTAAGATAGAGTTAAATTTTTTAAATTTGCATTACAAAAATGAAGAAAAAAATCAAATTGATTTTTTAAAATTCTTAGTCCGTATTGTCCCTTAATTTATTGTAAAAATCATATGGATTATTTGATAAATGATTGTTTATAAATTTTAATTATATTCGATTTATTGATCATATATGTTTAAGTTCAATTTAAGTGTGATTACACGTTATTAGAGATAATAAAATACATTTTCCGTGGGCATGTTTATCGAAAAATCACGAATACCGTAAAGTATGCGATGCGATGTACATAAAAGTAATTGTATATCATCATATGTGGATTTTATTCATTTTCTATACCAAGCCATGAAAGTATAGAGCCGCTATGAAATAGGACTGAAAGATTATTATGGGTGGGAAAAATTTTTATAACTTTGTTTATTTTTGATTAGAAATATTCCAGGTTCTTCTTCTCGCTTTATGACGAATTGACGAAATAATTTATTGGTGTCGTTACGAAATATGAGTGTTGATATAAAATAAAACATGTTTTACTTGAGATGATTCATAGCGTTGAAAATGAAAATTTAATTGATTGATGTAAAATTTGAATTAGGTACATTGATCAAGTTAACTTGAAGTAATTTTTTACTTTTTATTCTCCAAATTTTATCGTAAGTTCAAAAAATTATTTTACAAACTTTAAAGTATTTTTAGAAAAACACACCCACATCTATTGTGAAATAACAAGACGTGAACATAAATATGCTGATTTTTTCTCTTGTTAAACACAATGAGAATAAATGACGCAATTATAATCCGATCGTGTGATACTAATCATTACGCGGTTTAATTTGTTATTTTGCATCGTATAGAAGCAATAAAATATTATTTCTTGTCATAATGTATGGTACCTAAAACTCAAGTACTGCGTAGGTCGATTCATAGTTTATTCAATAATATAAATTTATACTTCCTAGTTTCTATCATATTTGTTTATTACTTATCTACAAATAATACCATAATCCACCTTTAATCATACTTTGATATATTTTTAATTTATTGCTTTTAGTCATCATTTCCTTTTATTTATTTAATCGAAAAATTCTATAATAATAATAACTAGCAACCTTGCAGTCACTTGTAAGCTATAAATAAATAAAATTTTGCTTTATTAAATAATGACTTTTGCTAAATTGCACTGTACTTTTTTAACTATTGGCGCTTTTAAAAATATAAGCTCATCCCGATGTTACACTCATTAAGAGCTTTCATTTGAGTACCCACATGCATTTTTATATATTTATCATATATACATATATATGCATTTTCATATATTTTTCATATATACATATATATATAAATATATGAAAAATTGATGTGGGTACTCAAATGAACGTCTTGATGAGTGCAATGTCGGGATGAGCTTATATCTTTAAAAATGTCAATAATTCACAAGATACAAGGTCATATTTTAATTATTGACGTTTTTTTAAGATATAAGCTCATCCCGATGTTACACTCACCGAGAGCTTTCATTTGAGTACTGATCTATATGAGAAGCACTCACTAATTGATTTTTGGAGATATTCGCTCGGCTTTTAAATGCTTGGCCTCTCCTCTTAAAACCAACCTCCTGAGTTGAAATATATTATACACAGAAAAAAAGAATTATTTGTCTCAAATAAATCAATTTATTTGAGTCATTTTTTTAAATGTTTCTTTGTGACAACCATATATATTTGGTACAAGTAAATATAACAGTTGACTCGAATTATTTTATTATTTGTCAGAAATATATCATTTATTTGTGGTAAAGATGCTAAGTTTATGGTAAACAACGGCATCTTTGAGGGTACCAGTCAAATGTTGAATTCTCAACTACTGCGCGCGCATATTCTTCGGACGTCACCCGAACTGACTTTCAAGTGACCGCCATGTTCATTAAAAACGTTTGTTGTTTTTTTTTTTTTTTATAACAGTGCGTATTATTGTATGAATTCTCAATTCTCAATTTTAAATAATTCATAATAGTGATCGAAGCGATGGAACAATTGTTAATTAATTGTTTAACTGTCGGTTTAAATGATCATTTAAAAGTATACATAGTAATATTACCTGATAAAAATACAACTGAAAAAATTTTAATTTTCAATATTAATAATTGTCTTCGTCCAATAAAAATGCATGTTACAGCTGAAAACAACCATATTATATCTAAAGGTGATTTGAATTTTTAATTATATTTCTGTTCTAATAAAATAAATTATAAATTTTTTATTCTATAGGAGCGCTATAATAAACTAAAAATATGTACATTTAA